GTAAGAATGTCAATCCTTATGGAGCTAGTGTACAACAATTTGATGGTGGTATGTTAGATGAAGATTGTGAAGAGGTTTCTCCATCTGCAGCTCCAACTTCAAGCACTAAGAGAAAAAGACCTATTGGGATTGGTGAGTATTTTGCTCCAAGGACTAAGCATGGGTCTCAGCCCTCAATTAAGAGTGTTTTAGTCGGAAAAGAAGCTAAGTGGAGAGCGGACATGGCTATTGCAAGGTTATTTTATGATTCTTGCATCCTAATTAATGTTATTAATTCAATTTATTTTCAGCCTATTGTGGATGCTATAACTGCAATTGGTCTTGGGGATAAACTCCCAACTTATCATAGTTTGCGTGTAAATTTATTGAGAGATGCTAAGAAAGAAGTGTAATTACTTGTTGATAGTTACAAGAAAACTTGGGAGAATGTTGGATGCACTATATATAATGGCTGATGGTTGGACAGATAATTCACATAGGTCACTAATTAATTTTTTACTATCTTGTCCTAAAGGAATTTGTTTTGTAAAATCAATAGATGCTTCAGATGTTGTAAAGGCTGCGGAACATTGTTTAGCTTGTTTGAGAAAATAGTTTTATGGGCTGGACAAAACAATATTGTCTATCTTGTCACTAACAATGGAGCAAATTATAAAGCTGCTAGAAGAATATTGTGTGAAAAATATAACAGTATTACTTAGTCTCCCTGTGCAACAAATTGCATTAATTTGATGACATGGTTGAGATGAATCACATAGTTAATCTTTCGAGACGTGCATATGAGGTTATAAAGTTTGTGTATAAAAAGACGGGTTATATACTTTTACCTCATATGGTTATAATTTACATTGTCAGGTCATATTATATATATACATTTTTTTTTTTTTTATAATTTACTAAGTACTAACATCTACTGTCTATCACTTGAATAAGGTTGGACATAAATTGTAAGTCTAGGTGCAACCTGTTTGGCCACAACTTTCACTGTATTGAGCAGGCTACATTAGCACAAACATGACTTGCAATTTATGGTGACAAATAGAGTTTTTGTGGACTCGCGATATGTAAAAACTAATAAAGGCAAAACATTTATTTCCACAGTTCTAGATAACCGATTTTGGGATGATATTGGTATAATTTCCAAAGTTGTGAGTCCATTGACTTGTATGCTTCGGATTGTAGACTTAGATGAGAGGCCTTCAATAGGATATGTATAATGGCATGTACAAAATGAGGATGGGGATCAAGAAGTTGTTTAAGAATAAAAAAAAGTTTATACAAGCCTTATACAACAATTATTAAGATACACTAGAATGGGATGTTGCGCCATGATATTCATACAGTAGCTTATTATTTGAATTTTGCTTTTAAATATGATGATGATACTTTTTCCAAAAAACTAGAGGTCATGTATGGTTTCCTTGACACTATTGAGAGTAAAGCAAGTGCGTTCAAAATAAAAAAGACAATGTTATCGGAGGAAAGTAGATTATATTGAGACCGTCTAGAAAGCTTTTTTCGCGAGCTTGCTCTTCAAACTTGCAAAACTACACGTCCTGGTATGTAATAGTTATTAAATTTTTAAGTCTAATTTTTCAATTATGAAATTGTGTTTATTTCTTATGTTGTATTCTCAATTAGATGAATGGTGGAGGACATTTGGGTTTAGTGCTCCAAATTTGCAAAAGTTTGCAATCAAATTCTAAGTCAAACTTCAGCTTCTTCGGGATGTGAGCGAAATTAGAGTGTTTTTGAACGCATACATACTAAAAAGAGGAGCAGAGCATCAACGGTTGAATGATCTGGTTTTCACTCATTATAACTTGCGTTTGCAAAATAGGTATAAAGCCTTCATCCTTTTTCTTTTTTGTTATTATCTCTTATTTTATTTTCATTGATGTTTTTATTGCTCATGATTTTAATATTTAATTTTGGTCTTTCGGAGTTTTACAAGAAAATTGCTTTTGATCCTATTGATAAAATTGAATCTTGGATAGTTGATGCAGAAGAGGAGGTTGGTGAACTTAATTATGATGAACTGAAACAATCATTATATATATGGAGAATGATCTATTCTTGTAGATGGTGGTGATCACCCTTCTTATTATGACTCAATAGATGTTTCAGAAGGTTGTTCCAATTTTTTAAGCAATTTGAATTTGGTAGTAACTAGTTTAAATTTGATTAGTTTAAATGGGAAGATTCAAATTATGGTTTTTCTTTTTTGTTGGAATTTTTTGTAGATGATAGTACTGATGTTAATAATGATGATGATCATCTATCAGATGGTGTGTGAATTGTGAAGTTCAATTGAGGATGGATTGAAGACCATTGGGTGAAGAAGATCTTTTTTTGCTAACATGTTTATTAATTATTATGTGATTTTCATGAATTTTGTTATTTTGATTTGTAATTAGTTGTAATAAGGATTGTACTGATGTAATGATGTTTGATGATGCTTTGTTAAAGATTTTTTATTTAGAAATTTGTGATTTGGATTCTAGAATTCTAGACTGTTAACAGTTGTTTGGCTGATGTCATTATGCTGACGTCAGCATAATGAGGTTACCGATTGAACTGGTTTAATTGGTCAACCCAAGACCCGACCAATTTGCTAAGTTTTACCCTGGATTGATTTTTAAAACATTGCTAAGAACACATATCATTTTAGGGTTCAGGTAAATAGTTCCAATAATAGTACATATCAAGAAAATGAGAAGGAAGTCAAAGATGCAGTGCTGTTCACGAATATTAATTAGATTTGTATTGAGAAGGTCCGTTCCCTGGTAACAATCAAGAACGACTGCAGTCTTTTTAGTAAATCAACCTTGGCATGTTGCATGGAGATGGCCCGAAGTACCCTAGAGTCACTCACGAAACTGGGAAACACATTATAATGGGCATGGTCCATTGGTCCCCCAAGTCCCCACCAAAATAAGACTTGAAAATTTAATAAAAGGGACAGCGAAACATTATCTTTACAAGCACTTTCGTCCACTTGGAGTGCCGTATCAACAAATGATGCTTTCCAGGATCCAACCCAGAACTTCAATTGAAACTCCTCATCTCTCCTGGAAATTCTTCCCTTTATATACAGTTAAATTCTCTCTCACTCTCTCATCAACCCTCATCTTCCAATTTGAATTCTCACTCACTAGAAATTTCACTCTCTTGAATGGCATCTCCAAATGACGCTTCAACTTTAGAGTTTATCAGCCAGTATCTTCTCAATGACTTCACTAGTTCCATGGAAACCTTCATATCCAACCTCGATTTTTACACTGCTCCTCAAAGCCAGCCTCAACACCCGCAATTTGATATCGACATCTCGGATTACTTGGAATCAAAAGAGCCACTCATCAACCGAAATTATCAGTCAACTCCTCTTAGTCGGAGAAAACCATCTATAAACGTCGCAATACCTCGACCAACAAACATCAAAACAAGCTCCAAAACTGACATTAACCCAGTTATTAAGACAGAAAGAGAATCGAAGGATGAAAAAGAATATCATTACAGAGGAGTAAGGAGACGACCATGGGGAAAATATGCAGCGGAGATCCGTGACCCCAACCGAAAAGGGATCCGGGTTTGGTTAGGAACTTTTGACACTGCCATTGAAGCTGCAAAAGCTTATGACAAAGCCGCTTTTAGGTTCCGAGGAAGCAAAGCGATCTTGAACTTTCCTCTTGAGATTGAAACCTCTAACTTTATTGAATCTGAATTACCATTGAATTGTGGGAAAAAGAGGAAAAATGAAGAAATGGAGGGTACGAAGAGAAAGGTGGTAAAGAAGGAGGAGCCCGAAGAAAAGGTCACGGACACCGTTAAGTTAGGCTTTTCTCCATTGACGTCGTCAAGTTGGACGGGGTTTTGGGAAGCTACTAGTATTGGAGGAGAAGGTGAGGGCATTTATAACATGCCTTTGTTTTCTCCGATATCACCACATCCTTCTATAGGAAACTGCCGGCTCACGGTTATGTAACGGAGGTTTAACAGTGGGGATTAAACTTTGATGACGTGGACATTTTAATTTATGTAGTAGATAGTGATAATAAAATAAGGTGGTGAAGTGTGATCAATTAAATATGATTGGGTGTTAGAGGATAGCATTTGTTAGTGGAATATATTGAATTATTGATAGAGAATTTAAATACAATTATTTTATTTTTTAAAAGTTGTTCCTCTTTACTTTTTAAATACAATTAATTAATTTTAAAAAAAAAGTACTATTTCTTTGGTTTGCATAAAATGAAAAAACAGTATTAAACTGAGATCATATATATGACTATAAATTAGTGTTTTCCATGACTTGAAGTGCGTAAGAATTGGCAATTGTGTTATAATGCCAGGAAAATTTACCGTGCGTAAGAATTGGCAAACAAATAAATTGGTCGCTAATGTGATATTTTTGATAACAAATCAAATCAGTCGTAGAATATTAATTTTAGACACCAAAGGCGAGAATAAACGGGCCCCAAAATTTTATTCCCCTTTAGCCGACCGATTGGAATTTAGTTACCAAATGTGGGGTATTTGTAACTATTTTTGCCTAGTTGCAAAAAAATTGGTTACAAAAAATACTTTTTCTTGTGTCATTTGATTACAAGTAGTGGTGTTAAAAAAAATACAAAAACCAAACCGAACCGAAACAACGGTTCGGTTATGGTTCGAAAAAATTCAAAAAATCGGATTTCTAGTTCGGGAAAAAATAAAAAGCGGTTAATTGAAATCGGTTTTTTGAACCGGTTTTACAAATATATATATATATATATATAAAATAATAATATAATATATTATTTATTAAATAAAAAAATAATAATATTTTTAATATATTATTAGTAGTGGTCAATGGATATGTATGAATGTTTAATTTTTATTTGGATATGTATTATTTATATTTACAATTTAATTTAAGAAAAAAAAAGTTTTATAAAAAAAAAAAAAGGAAAAACCGACCCGTAGAAATATATAAGCTAGGGATATACAAATATAATAATGAAAGTTGATTAAATGCAATAGCTATCTAGAAAGCAAAAGCAGCTGCAACTGAAAGCACTGCCGAAACCAAACCAGCATTATATTTGGTTGAAGATGATCCAGATGAAGTTGGTGCTGTTGGGGCAACTCCTCCTGCTTCAGTTGCAGTTGGGGTTGAAGCATCGGTGGCACTCGCATTTGGGCTTGAAGCTGTTTCACTCTTTGGAGCAGCAGCAGCAGCACCTTCTGGGCTTGCAGCCGGGCCACCGTCTGGGCTTGCTGCACTTCCGACTACATTAACTTCAAGTTTCTGGCCCATTTTACAATGTCCAGTAAAACTGCAAAGGAAATAGGCTTTTCCAGGCTCCTTGAGGGTGATTGAATCGGCGCCTGTGGTGTATGTTGCGATTGCGGATTTTCCATTGCATGCTTCATAATCTGCCTTGCTCACTTGCTTCACATCGTGCATTGCGGGATTATACTTGAAAACTACAAGCAAATTAATTTAATATCCTTTACCATATAGTATTGGACAATGTAACATATCTCAAATGCAGAATAGGATGATTTTGAGTAGATTAGCAATTGAGAAAACTGATTAATTAAAGTTAAGAAAATGAAAATGATCAAAGTTGTTAACTTACAGAGAATATCGCCAACTTTGAAGGTCTTATCCTCAGCCCACTTTTCGTAATCAGGGCTGCCTTGGATAGTCCAACCGGCTTTGTCACCAACGGTGTAAGTAGTTGCCATGGCCGCCCCAAAGAGAGCCATGATTGAGAACACAGTCACAGCACTCTTAGCCATTGCCATTGTTGTTTTATTATTAATGAACTAATCGAGTTATTAGCTGATTCACTTTGAAATATTCTGCCGAAGACGAAAACAATATATAGGGTTTGTGATTCTGTTGTGACCATCCATTTCTGTCTAAATATAGCTTCTGGTTCCTGATGGAGAGAAACGATTTGCTAAACTTTTTAATGGCCCAACTTAAATATAGATGTATGAACATCCTTAACGACTTATCGTCTTCACTCTTTGAATTAATAATTTTGCTTTTTTATTTTGGAAAGATAAAAGGGGAAAATAAAGAAATTAAAAAAAAAAAGCACAAAGTATGGAATTCCAAGATCAAAATGCTGAAAAACTTGAAATCTTGCAACGAAGTTTATGGATGAGTTCATACAAGGGTTTCATTGATAAATATTTTTCAACACCAAAGAAAAAGAAAATAACCCCACCAAAGCTAGCTATATACTTAACCTGAAAACTTGAATTATTATCAAAGTGGCCATCGTTGTTCTTTGGAAGATTATGGTGTATCTCAAGGGAGAGAGCTTAATATTGGCTCTAATTAATATGAAGGTAAAAAATTTGAGTTTATTTCCTATATATAATCTAACGTAGTACAAAAGTAAGAGAGTACTATTACTACATATAATTTAGTACTATCTAAATACATCAGTTAGTATTTGAAAAGTAATAAAATTTAAGACTGTACTACATTCAATTTAGTACTACAATTATCCAAAAATATCCTTTAAAATCAAAATATAGACAACCTTGCACTTTATTACATTAAAAAATTTATAAATTATTTACTATATATACATATAATTGTGTTCAGCACTCAGTATCTAAATTGAGAAATCTAGCATTACAACTACTAAATCACATATGAAGATTCATCAAACTCAGGCAAACCCAGCAAGACAAATTCCAAGAATTCCTGAAACCAACCAAAAATTATTAAACGAATAAGGAGATGGGCCGCTGTTAGCAGTTAGGCTTTTCGTGGTTACAGAAGCTGAGTCCAGTGTTGAATTTGGGCTTTCAGTTGGGCTTGCGGATCCTGAGCTCACAAGAATGCCCAAGAAATGAATAAATAAAGAAATACTGACAAACCTTTCTCATTAACTTCTCTCACAAACGTAAGATGATAGTTCACATTTAGCCAACAAGATCCATTGTTAGACAAACGGGACCATTGCGACCTAACCAATTGCAACTGTTATGTTGCGTTTATAGGAGAAAATTAGTAAGAAAGGTTACCCATAAAGGTTTTGAATTGCATAATGCAAAATCCACGCACATCGTGACTTTGAGGATTGTAATTGAAAACTGCATGAAGTCCAATAAATAAAATACTTAATATATCTAAAATTATTGTAAGCTTTTGGTGTGGTGGTGTAAGTCTCTACGTTTGGCGAAGTTGCTGGTGCCTTGTGGTTCTCTCCTTGCTAGCAATTTGTGTGTGTTGTCCATTTTTGAGGCGGTCTATTGTGGTGGAATGTGTTATCCTGCTGGTGTGGGTTTTGAGGCAGACTTTTTTTATTTTTGGCTGGCGTTTTGTGCTCGAGTCTGTGGTCCTGCTCGAAGACTTTTGTCTTTTATGTCGGTTGGTTTTTTTCCCCTCTTCTTTTGTTTTGCTGCGTTGGAGGCCTTGTGCCCTTGTTTTTTCCTCTTCTTTTGTTCTGTTAGCGTCTTAGTTTGGGACGTGTCGATGAGGGGGTTATCCCCGGATAGCTTATTCTTATCTGAAAAAGATAAATAATGGTAACAGTGCGTGTGGTACACTTTTTTTAATAAGATTTTTCTGAATATATTTTGAGATGGGATTATGGGAATCAGTTAAATACACCTCACAATATAAGTTTATAAATTAATAAAAATATTCTCACCCATCCAATCAATTATCAATAGTCAGTTACTACCATCGGACGGTGACCATCAATCGTCGAATGGCGTACAATCAACTTGATCTGACTGGTTATGCATCATTTCAATATTAGGTGATAATAGTTTTGGTGGATGAAGATGTTTTTGTTAAATTATAAACTTTTATTATGAAAGATAATCGTTAAATATTTTTAGTTGAATAAAATATAATTAGATTTTGAAACAAACACGTTTTTTATTGGATTGTATAAGATAATAGAATAGAATAGAACATGAAAAATATATAAAACGCAACCTTTAAGTTTTATAAATAAAATATAGTAACGTTTTGATCTCTACCACTGTCAGTATCATTTTGGTCCATAAGATTTGTTAAGGATAGAGAGACCAAAACGTCATTAACAAAATAATAATTAAGCTTATCAAGAATATCGTCGACCTAAAACTTCTTCCCATCTGCTCATTCATTGTAATCAACGCCGCAGAGCAGCCATGGCCCATGGATGCTCCAAAGAGAGCAGCCATGATTGTGAAAGCAAAAGTCTTAATAAGCTGAATCAAGGTTTAATAAGAAAAGACAAAAAAGTAAATATGTAGAGTTGAGTGATTCTTTATGAAGAGTAATTGCTGATAAAAAAAACCACAATTATATCAACCGATGTAAGTCAAATTTTAGTCAATACTCTTGAATTACATTATTCAACCATGTCAAGCTGAAATTAAAGATTTTGTAATTCAAAGTCAAAATCACGTTTTCTTATTTACTAACAAATATCAATAATATTTAAATCATTAAATAAAGAATATATTTTATTACCGCCTTATTTATGAAGATGCATGCATGGTGATATTTGCGTGTCGGGTAGAGCCTTCAGCCTTGCTGTAACACCCGGGACAGCTTCCCAAGTTGACACTCAACATCAAGACACTACACCTACACGTACCAAAACAAAAAAGGAAAAAAAAAACGAAAAAGACAAACTTTTTTTGTAATTTAGTTAAATGTGGAGCCCCCTGAAAAACTAGTTGACTACTTGTACATTTTATTTCTTTCATCCATTAAAGGGCGAACGATATTTTCCCACCCAATGTTTGACAAACACACTTTTCCATCATTCTGTTATATTTTCTTTAATATTTGATTAAAATGATAAAATTACTCTTAAATATTTAATTTTAAAAAAAAATTATTATTTTTTAATTAAAAAAATTAAATATTAAAAGTAAAAAAAAAATGGTTAATTTTAACTAAAAAGTTAATATTATGAAATTACTTAAAGTTAAATGATTTTAATATTTATTTATTTATAATATCATCAATATCCTATCACTATTATTCAATAATCTACTAAATTTATAATATTTATCATATTTACTAATTAACATATAAAATTAATATTTCTAATTAATTAAATAAACAAAAGAAAAAATGTACCTTTATACTTGAACTAATAAATAATCAAATAAAGATTATGATTTAACTAAATTTTAATTTATAATAAATGAATTAAAAAATAAATTATTTAAAGATTTATTCATCTTTTTAATTAAATATTAATAGAAAATACTAACATGACAAAAGGTGGAAAAGTGCTTGACGGTAGAAAGGGGTCATTTCAGCAAACGAGTGGGAAAATATCATTCCAATAAAAGTTAAAACTTAATGGAAAATAATAGACACTGGGAGTAGTGTACACGTGACAAAATCCTAACCATATATTAATTAAAACTTAATATTAATCAATAATTAAGATTAAGTTACGTCATTCGATGCACTACTCCCAAGGACTGTAGCATTACTCAAACTTAATTGTCATAAATGTCACTTGGTCTCTATATTTTCATGCCCATGGAGGTTTCATTTTTATTTATTTTTGCCGTGCTTCAATCAAATTGGATGTGAGGGAGTCCCCACTTTCAAATTCAAAAGGGTCCCTCCCTGCAAATGACGCCTTCAATTTCCTCCTTTTATATCTTCCTTTACTGCCTTCCTTTTTTTTTTATCAAATGTATGGCGACTCTTGAAGATATCTCTTCCCTGGAATTCATTCGTCAATTTCTTCTTGGAGACTTTATCTCCATAGAGGAACCCAATTTCAGTTTTTCTTGTACTTCTTTTCTTCAACCTGAATATCCAATACCCAAATCCGAACCTCAATCTCCAACTGTTTCACTTTCACCAATAAAGCCTGAAATACTGGAGTTGGAGTCTTCAAAGCAACTGAATTTGGATTCAACTGATTCATACAGTCCAAAAATGGCAGACACTGAAGAGAAGCAGCACTACAGGGGGGTCCGAAGAAGGCCATGGGGGAAGTATGCGGCGGAGATCCGGGATCCGGCTCGAAAGGGAGCCCGGGTATGGTTAGGAACTTTTGATACTGATGTTGATGCTGCAAAAGCTTATGATTGTGCTGCTTTCAAAATGAGAGGTCGCAAAGCGATCTTGAATTTTCCATTGCAGGCTGGAGTGGGTGGCCCACCGGCAACAACTAATTGCAAGAAAAGGAAAAGAGAAAAGGAAATGGAGTTGCAGGATTCTCAAGTCATATCCATGGAAAGAGAAGGATTAGCTTGGAAGGCAGAGAATCAGGAGAGGTCATTCTCAAGAATAAAACAAAGTATATAGTAAAATAAACCCACCAACCATATCAAAAATAATTTTCGTTAGTATTTGCAGAGTTGAAGTGTCAGTGAGTATATGTATTTTTTTTTTAAAATATCACAAAATACCTGGTTATTTTTAAAATGAACATATCCTTGCCCATCTTACATCAAACTAACGAAATACTTGAGCATAGGCAAAGGATGAAATTCCAAAGAAAGAAGGGAAAAAGTCCAGTATTGAGTAGTGGTATGACTTCTTTTGGTTTATGTAAAAAGTGTGAGTGCTGTATAAGAAGGTAACTTATAATTTGGCTGTAGAAGATTGTACAGAGGTAGACTTGAAGTTGCAGTAAGAATTATGGCACAATAAATGTTGAATCTAGACTTGTGAATCGTGATTGGTTGACATTCTTTTCGTTGCTTTATTACGTTTAAGACTTTTCTTGCTAACTTTGCTATCCATAATTACTGTGTTCATAATTGTTCAAGAGAACAGTGGATAAGTCACTGATTGAGCCAAGACATTTTCTATTGTGAAATTCAATTACATAGAACAAAGACTTGCTCAAGTAAACTACTGGTCTACTGCCCAATTGCAACCGGCCTTCCAAATTTAATTTCAAGAAGTGGTTAAAAGCGGGGCATTTTTCTGTGATTCTAGAGACACCCATGTCCTCAATAAGCTGCCAATTATAACATGAACTCTTATCCAAGCTCTTATTATCCAGAAACAAACCCTTTTGACAGTGCTTGAAACATTTTGAAGTCTACTCTTAATTTTCTCACCTCAAGTTTTCAATAAACAACTTAATCAGCAACCGTTTAGAATTGAAAGGGAAGAGAAACCAGCTCAATCAAAGACTAAACCNCATATCCTTGCCCATCTTACATCAAACTAACGAAATACTTGAGCATAGGCAAAGGATGAAATTCCAAAGAAAGAAGGGAAAAAGTCCAGTATTGAGTAGTGGTATGACTTCTTTTGGTTTATGTAAAAAGTGTGAGTGCTGTATAAGAAGGTAACTTATAATTTGGCTGTAGAAGATTGTAAAGAGGTAGACTTGAAGTTGCAGTAAGAATTATGGCACAATAAATGTTGAATCTAGACTTGTGAATCGTGATTGGTTGACATTCTTTTCGTTGCTTTATTACGTTTAAGACTTTTCTTGCTAACTTTGCTATCCATAATTACTGTGTTCATAATTGTTCAAGAGAACAGTGGATAAGTCACTGATTGAGCCAAGACATTTTCTATTGTGAAATTCAATTACATAGAACAAAGACTTGCTCAAGTAAACTACTGGTCTACTGCCCAATTGCAACCGGCCTTCCAGATTTAATTTCAAGAAGTGGTTAAAAGCGGGGCATTTTTCTGTGATTCTAGAGACACCCATGTCCTCAATAAGCTGCCAATTATAACATGAACTCTTATCCAAGCTCTTATTATCCAGAAACAAACCCTTTTGACAGTGCTTGAAACATTTTGAAGTCTACTCTTAATTTTCTCACCTCAAGTTTTCAATAAACAACTTAATCAGCAACCGTTTAGAATTGAAAGGGAAGAGAAACCAGCTCAATCAAAGACTAAACCAGCTGTTTCTGGAGTTTGACTCCATATGAATTTAAAAAAAAAAAAAAACCCACATTAAATTTAAGTATGCAGATGCATGTGTAAGTATCTATGCCAAGGATTGAGATCGTACAAGTTTATCCTAAAGGCATCAAATAGGTTGATGGTACACATAGAAAGAGATAGATTTGATGAACAAGTTGCACGAACGATGGTCCACTGTTCGATCCAGTTGCAAAAGTTTGTCTCCTAGTTTCGTACATTGCTACGTGCAATGTGTCAATATCTGCAACTGGTCTGAAACCAGTTGTAAATGAGAGATATAGGGAGCAACTTGCTACCTTTGTAAGCAGGAGAAGAACTAACGACACAACTGGCTTTAAAGATCGTCACCAGCTCTCAACAAGATGAGGTCATATTAATTAAATTTCATAATGGGGTTGGTTGGTTCCCCTGTTTCTAGGTTAAGATAGGGGAGCCCACTTCTTGTCATATTAAAAGCAAAGAAAACAGGAGAATAAAAACAGTACAATGTGTTATCTATAAAACTAACTTTTGAAGTGAGTATTTTAGTGCATAATAGTGATAGCTTCTCTATCCTTAATGATACAAAAATCCATAAGCATACAAAATGCACAATCCAAACAAATTACTCACACTCATTTCTTAAAAACCGGACATCCATTTCTTTAAAATTGTTTTAGTTTACAGAGAACTTTATGCGAACAATTAAAAAAGTGCTTTCGGTTATCAATGTAATCTACATTGTATTGGATTATTTGATATTCATTTAATATAAGAATATCTTGCATGATTCTGTTTAAACATATTTTGGCATGAGATACAACCGGAAGTACATGCAATAAACAACGTAAATTGTAGCCAATAAATGTAGCAATAACGGAACCTAAACAACAAACAACTTATCTTCTAAATAAGAGACACCTTGCCATGTGCTTGCGATAATGGCAATAAAAATTTTTACTGACCTGCTTGGATATGAACTCAAATGAAATCCATATAGAAATAATCTTCACATTGTTGATGAACTAAATTGCAGTAAACTGTTTGGATCTGAACTCAAGTGAAATCTAAATAGAAGTAATCTTCATATTGTCGATTGTTTCATTAGCCTCATTATCAACACTATCTTGCGACTTATCACTGCTATGCAAGAAAATAGGTTGATTCGTTGATGCAAGAAGCCTAGCCCACATCCTATCAGTCAACTTAACTGTCTTTTGTGTCTCAGTAACATGCTGCAAAAAAGCATCATGCCATTCAAAATTAATGAGAAATTTGACTGTACCAATGCAGCACAAAAGTGAAAAAATTTCATACACTAAATTAAGTATCACAAGCAGAAAGTTTCGAGCCAATAGGTAAATCAGTAACTTGAGTTACTATACACATAAAATGTTGTATATCCGGAAACACTGACAAAGGAGAAACAGTGCTTACAGAGATTGGAATATAAGCATGTCTGTTGTTTACAGGTCCAACTGTGAAGCCTGTAAACCCAGCCATGGCCCCATGAACAGCACTTTGGGCAAGAAGCGTGCAGTAGATGTTGTCTGATGCATTACTCGGAATAGCTCGTATCATGTATGTTGGATCTGCAAAAAGTTGTTTGTAAAAGAAATATTCAACAAATGAGAATGTTTTTGCCAAAGTCTGGAAATAGTCCACAACTTTTTCTTTATCCATATCATTCATGTTTCTCCCAGAGCATCCATAAAACAGAATCCTTAAAGTTGGCAAAAGCAATATTTGACATTTCCATGTCACTACTAACTTGAAATATTGAATGCTAAGTAAACTCAAGTTCATGAAAAAATAGAAACAATAAAATAATAAAAGATATTTCAGTAATATACCTATGTATTTCATATTTATTGTCATCTTCTGAATATTAGTGAAGTGATCCTGTGACATGAAGCATAATTACATTAGATTGATACAAAACTAGTACAAAGGAAACTACCAGAAAAAATTTCTTCAGCTTATAGAAAAAAGATGCCCTTACTCAGAGAAAAGGAAAAAAATAAAATGAATACATTGGTTAAAGTAAATATCCTGTAAATTTAACTCTCTTAGATAAGATTCAACTCAAGGTTATTGGTCTGGTAAACATTTCATGTCACAGAATTAACCATGTTGTCCATGACTATTTATATTGTAGTACGTATCCTTTCATGCTTGCTTTTTGAAACTGTAATCATACAATGCTTCTCAAGTCTCTCCTAGAATCAAATGTTGAGACATGCTTACACATAAAGAATCTTACGATGGTTTATTCACACCTGGCACTTGCAACTTCCCATTTCATGGCCAAAAATCCTTTTGCAAAAGTCATAAATGGTAAAATATTGTTTGATTAATCAGACTGCATCCAAGGGTATAATCTCATTAAGAGCCTGGGAGAATAAATGTTGTGCCTCACCTTAATCTTTTGAGTCAACCAGTGACCAATGTCAAGGAGTAATCTGTTTCCTGATGCATCTTTCTCATCAACTGCAGGTGTGCTTTGGGAAACATAATCTTGTCCTGTTCCTTCTGCCACCACAATTACCATATGCCCGTTTTCTTTAAGCCGCTGTTCAATAAATTCAAAAAGTCCACCCTGGCCTTCTAGATAGAATGGAGATTCTGGAATCAAGCAACAATCCTGTAACATTCAAACATAATGTTGTTGATCAAGAATTAAGACATTATTATCAGACTGATATCTGAAATATTATTACACCATAAAACTGTATTCTAATCTCATGATTACTCTTTTAGTTGCACAAACAACAAACTATTACACACAAAATGACATAGAAGAAAAATAAACCATCAACCTCAAGCCCTATAATATAAATTCAACTTATTATCTTCGATAATTCTACTTGGGGGCTGTTTGGTATGACTTTCTCAAGTAGAGTTTATAGAAGTGGAGCTTATTTTGAAATAGATTTTATAAAAGCCAGAGCTCACATTTCATCACTACATAAATTTTAGCACTATAATTACACCCAAAATTTGATCCAGGAATATTTTAAGGTCAGAATAAGGTGATCAGGTTTTTATGGCATGGGAGTAAAGTCTTACCACATCTCGACTTGCCAAAGTTGCATACATAGCAATGAAACCTGCAGAAGTAAAGTTCAAAAACATATAACAAGAATAGAAATATAATGTAAACAACTGATAACAATATGCACCAATGTATCACATGTTTCTTAAAATACTTACCACTGTATCTACCCATAAGTTTGACAATTCCAACTCCATTTTCAACACTTTCGACCTCTACATGTGCAGCATTAATGGCCCTCTGAGCTTCTTCAACAGCAGTATCAAAACCAAAAGATTTGTCTATCACCTGAAACCACAAAAGCAAAGAATATAACTGTTTTTGTTTGTGAAGAACATATGACTGTATGGTGAAAAAAGAAGAAATTCCTAATATACAGATGAACTTCTTTAAAACAAATGATTTTCTTATATGTACATGCATCAATTCTCATGTTGAAGCATAAATTCTTGTCAAGCTTTTTACTGAACAATCAACATAACTCATTGATATTAACTTAACCAGCACTGTAGAGTGGTGAAACAACTTACAGCAATATCATTATCAATTGTCTTAGGGATGCCAGCAACTGCCACTTGAAGACCACGTTTCTCAACTTCCTTAACCAAAATGTGCCAGTAAGACCATTTGAGAGGACAGAAATACGAAAATACATTGATATTACATCACAACAATGTAGCCTGACTAGTACGCATGAAAAATAGAAATTTATATAAATATAGATGTGTATGAGGAATTATCACCTTGTAAATAAGAGCTGCTCCTTTCTGTGTACCATCACCGCCAATTATATACACCTAAAGTCCATTGAGAGATCAGTATTTCTGCTTGTTAAATGTTTTTTTTTTTGCCTACATTGTATTGGATTATTTGATATTCATTTAATATAAGAATATCTTGCATGATTCTGTTTAAACATATTTTGGCATGAGATACAATCGGAAGTACATACAATAAATAACGTAAATTGTAGCCAATAAATGTAGCAATAATGGAACCTAATCAACAAATAACATATCTTCTAAATAAGAGACACCTTGTCATGTGCTTGCGATAATGGCAATAAAAAATTTTACTGACCTGCTTGGATATGAACTCAAATGAAATCCATATAGAAATAATCTTCACATTGTTGATGAACTAAATTGCAGTAAACTGTTTGGATCTGAACTCAAGTGAAATCTAAATAGAAGTAATCTTCATATTGTCGATTGTTTCATTAGCCTCATTATCAACACTATCTTGCGACTTATCACTGCTATGCAAGAAAATAGGTTGATTCGTTGATGCAAGAAGCCTAGCCCACATCCTATCAGTCAACTTAACTGTCTTTTGTGTCTCAGTAACATGCTGCAAAAAAGCATCATGCCATTCAAAATTAATGAGAAATTTGACTGTACCAATGCAGCACAAAAGTGAAAAAATTTCATACACTAAATTAAGTATCACAAGCAGAAAGTTTCGAGCCAATAGGTAAATCAGTAACTTGAGTTACTATACACATAAAATGTTGTATATCCGGAAACACTGACAAAGGAGAAACAGTGCTTACAGAGATTGGAATATAAGCATGTCTGTTGTTTACAGGTCCAACTGTGAAGCCTGTAAACCCAGCCATGGCCCCATGAACAGCACTTTGGGCAAGAAGCGTGCAGTAGATGTTGTCTGATGCATTACTCGGAATAGCTCGTATCATGTATGTTGGATCTGCATAAAGTTGTTTGTAAAAGAAATATTCAACAAATGAGAATGTTTTTGCCAAACTCTGGAAATAGTCCACAACTTTTTCTTTATCCATATCATTCATGTTTCTCCCAGAGCATCCATAAAACAGAATCCTTAAAGTTGGCAAAAGCAATATTTGACATTTCCATGTCACTACTAACTTGAAATATTGAATGCTAAGTAAACTCAAGTTCATGAAAAAATAGAAACAATAAAATAATAAAAGATATTTCAGTAATATACCTATGTATTTCATATTTATTGTCATCTTCTGAATATTAGTGAAGTGATCCTGTGACATGAAGCATAATTACATTAGATTGATACAAAACTAGTACAAAGGAAACTACCAGAAAAAATTTCTTCAGCTTATAGAAAAAAGATGCCCTTACTCAGAGAAAAGGAAAAAAATAAAATGAATACATTGGTTAAAGTAAATATCCTGTAAATTTAACTCTCTTAGATAAGATTCAACTCAAGGTTATTGGTCTGGTAAACATTTCATGTCACAGAATTAACCATGTTGTCCATGACTATTTATATTGTAGTACGTATCCTTTCATGCTTGCTTTTTGAAACTGTAATCATACAATGCTTCTCAAGTCTCTCCTAGAATCAAATGTTGAGACATGCTTACACATAAAGAATCTTACGATGGTTTATTCACACCTGGCACTTGCAACTTCCCATTTCATGGCCAAAAATCCTTTTGCAAAAGTCATAAATGGTAAAATATTGTTTGATTAATCAGACTGCATCCAAGGGTATAATCTCATTAAGAGCCTGGGAGAATAAATGTTGTGCCTCACCTTAATCTTTTGAGTCAACCAGTGACCAATGTCAAGGAGTAATCTGTTTCCTGATGCATCTTTCTCATCAACTGCAGGTGTGCTTTGGGAAACATAATCTTGTCCTGTTCCTTCTGCCACCACAATTACCATATGCCCGTTTTCTTTAAGCCGCTGTTCAATAAATTCAAAAAGTCCACCCTGGCCTTCTAGATAGAATGGAGATTCTGGAATCAAGCAACAATCCTGTAACATTCAAACATAATGTTGTTGATCAAGAATTAAGACATTATTATCAGACTGATATCTGAAATATTATTACACCATAAAACTGTATTCTAATCTCATGATTACTCTTTTAGTTGCACAAACAACAAACTATTACACACAAAATGACATAGAAGAAAAATAAACCATCAACCTCAAGCCCTATAATATAAATTCAACTTATTATCTTCGATAATTCTACTTGGGGGCTGTTTGGTATGACTTTCTCATGTAGAGTTTATAGAAGTGGAGCTTATTTTGAAATAGATTTTATAAAAGCCAGGGCTCGCATTTCATCACTACATAAATTATAGCACTATAATTACACCCAAAATTTGATCCAGGAATATTTTAAGGTCAGAATAAGGTGCTCAGGTTTTTATGGCATGGGAGTAAAGTCTTACCACATCTCGACTTGCCAAAGTTGCATACATAGCAATGAAACCTGCAGAAGTAAAGTTCAAAAACATATAACAAGAATAGAAATATAATGTAAACAACTGATAACAATATGCACCAATGTTTCACATGTTTCTTAAAATACTTACCACTGTATCTACCCATAAGTTTGACAATTCCAACTCCATTTTCAACACTTTCGACCTCTACATGTGCAGCATTAATGGCCCTCTGAGCTTCTTCAACAGCAGTATCAAAACCAAAAGATTTGTCTATCACCTGAAACCACAAAAGCAAAGAATATAACTGTTTTTGTTTGTGAAGAACATATGACTGTATGGTGAAAAAAGAAGAAATTCCTAATATACAGATGAACTTCTTTAAAACAAATGATTTTCTTATATGTACATGCATCAATTCTCATGTTGAAGCATAAATTCTTGTCAAGCTTTTTACTGAACAATCAACATAACTCATTGATATTAACTTAACCAGCACTGTAGAGTGGTGAAACAACTTACAGCAATATCATTATCAATTGTCTTAGGGATGCCAGCAACTGCCACTTGAAGACCACGTTTCTCAACTTCCTTAACCAAAATGTGCCAGTAAGACCATTTGAGAGGACAGAAATACGAAAACACATTGATATTACATCACAACAATGTAGCCTAACTAGTATGCATGAAAAATAGAAATTTATATAAATATAGATGTGTATGAGGAATTATCACCTTGTAAATAAGAGCTGCTCCTTTCTGTGTACCATCACCGCCAATTATATACACCTAAAGTCCATTGAGAGATCAGTATTTCTGCTTGTTAAATGTTTTTTTTTTTAAGATAGATAAAGTACTCATATCTCCACCTGATTTATTCCTCTGTCTTCTATATTGTCAACAATCTTGTGGGTATCATGACCTCCTCGTGAAGTACGAAGAAAAGTGCCACCACGTTTATGGATATCATTCACAACTTTAGGATTCAATGTCATGGTATTTTTAGAGTAAAAGCCTCTGTATCCACCCTGGATAATCCAACGAGATCGTGGAGATGCAATCAGATTTGAAAATTTGATACAAGACACGATCAAGAAATAAATACAAAATTTAAGAAAATAATACAATGCAAACCATAGAATTTATGTACATGCAAAATGGAGTCTGAAAAACCAGAAGCATAGCTTCATCCTCTTGTCTTTTGTTCCTAATCACCTCCCAAGTGACAGTAAATATAAACTTTTAACAACCATAGTTCAATTAACCAATTGGATTCATCTAGTGAAATCCCCTCAAAATAGTTATGCTTTTGAAAAAATAAATAAATGAAAGAAGAAAATTGTCAGGCAACTTACAAGCTTAGTCAAATTTTCTTCATGCAGCATAACTGCTTGCCTAAATGTCTGGGAAGTTGTTAACAAACATGCATATATTTGCAGCAAGATTTACCATTTAAAAGAGCACTTTGACATATATTCAAACAGGCTTCATTCTTTGATGAAATGGAAACCTGTTTCAAAAACAAATGATTGATATACGAAGAACACTAGCATAGATTATAACTCCTCAAGGGCCACACTTATAAATTTTTTATTTCCCAAGAAAATCTCAATTTACTTTCAAAAAGAATTTTTCAGAATCAAATATAAACAACACAATGAAATATAAAAGGTTCTTATTTTTAAATCTCTAAAATGAAATTACAGAAGATCTGGCCAGAGTATCAAAATCTAACCAAATTATGATGGCAACCCACTCGCATGTTATTGTGAAGAGTTCCATGCCACAAGGCAGTGGAAGAAACTCAAAATGATAGTCCCAATAGCACCTGCTACCATAAGAATTTCTATACTACTGTGACTATAAATGAATACTAAATAGGAAACACTTGCTCTCTCAGAAACTAATTAAACTTATTACCACCTCATATTAAGTAGTCCAAACATCAAATTAACTAAAAATGAAGCAAATGGATTGGATCACCAATATGGAATTATCCCCATATAATCCCAATCTACTTTCTAATGTTAACATGATCTCTATCTAAAATTTCATCCCTCAATAATTACAAGGAAAAAACATGTCAATTCAATAAGCAAAAACCAAAAAGTAAACAAAAGTTACCACAATTCTTCAACAATAGGTTTGGTACAAAAATTTGTATAAGCAAACAAAAAAAGATGGAAGATAAATTGATCAATCAATGGAAAACTCTCTCAAGTGATGGAAGTTAAATATATATTGAACTCACCTCAATGCCAAGTATATTATCAACCCCATACATGTAATTCAAGCCACATACTATCTCCCGAATGACTGTATTAATCCCTGGGCATAAACCCCCACAAGTCACAATGCAAGCACACACGTCTTCTGGCTTGAAATATACCTAATATCAGAAATATTTTTTATCAGATTTTTGTATAGCCTTTCAAAGAGAACATATAATGGTGCTTCAAAAAGAAAACATACTTTCTCTCGTGGTCCAGCACGCCGAAAATGTGCTCCTCTAGGACTATCTTTCTGTATAACTATCTGAAGGAATGCACCAAAATTAAGCAGGTGAAAGCAAGAAACACAAAATATCAAAATTAAATTGAAATTTCTACTTACTCTTTGGGTAACCACATCTTCAGGGCTAACAAACGTTTTCCTACCAAAACAGAAGAATATATGCACAATAAATCAATGACCAGAACTGAGATTCTCGAGAGCAGGAGGAAACTAGTAAGATAAGTCCACAAATACTTGGCCTAATCACAAGCTCAAAATAAAACTTCCTGAATAATTGAAATGCCTTACTTGACAACAGCATATGCTTGGCTCTTTTGCAGTGGATTAGGGTATGACTGAAAGAAAAGGAAAAGCATGCCTGTGTTACATGTCCATAAAGTAGTTCAAAAGACAATAGAACCATCCAAAATATCAAACCCCAACAAAAGAGTAAGTACATGATGGAGGATTTCTAGACTAAATATAAGTCATGACTCAACCCGACAGATGATCTTGTGAGTTCGTTCTCACAATTCCATGCCCTTAAATCCTAATCCTCCCATTCACTTTAAACTCCACCAATGCATATGGGTGCATTGCATACAGCCAAACCATCTTGATCAACTTTATGAAAATGAGAATTCCAATTTTTTATTTTGCAATCTACGAACAAGTCGGTATAGCAATCATTTTCTGATAACAGAAGTAGTAAAATCCTTCAGCTAAATTTTTCAAAAAAAATAAAAAATAAAAATACAGAAGCGCTTTGTGTGTTTCAAATCCTGCTTTCAAACACAAAACTGAACGTGTTTTAACTGTTTTTGCATTTGACAGCATCAAGCTTCGCAATTTCTGGTCTACTTCGAATTCAATGCCTCAAAATTTACCTTAATTAACTTCAAACTATAGTATTTTTACTCCATAGAATTCAAAATTCATTTCTCATTATAGTCAAAAGCAATTATACTAAATATATGTATATTTATGAATACAAGCACATTTATACACTAATAAAGATCTGAGTAAGCAATTAAACTTTAAATATGAACAAACTTACCGGATATGTTAAAATAAAAAAAATGAAAAAGAAGAAGAAAGATTACCGGTAGGTCGGGAAGAAAATTAGTCAAGTGCGGAACATCATCGAGAACAAAACCGTCAGTACTGGCCGTATGATCGAAAACCTGACATCTGATAGGACGATTTTGGCGCGAAACCAACGGCTTAATTTGGAAGTTTCTGTAATCGAAATTGGAGTTGCGAAATAGCGGATTGAGAATGAAGTTATTATTAGAGTTGAATAGAAATGGGGGCGGAGAGACAGAAAGCCAAGAAGAAGAAATTGAAAGATCCATTGAATAAAATTCGAAAGATTTGAAAAAGTAGAGAAGAAGAAGAAGAAGATGGTTATGATAAAGAGGGAAAGGTAGATTTGTAAAGAGATTCAGAGGAATGAAGGGACAATATGGGATTGATCCTTGGCAAATGCAAATGCGATTTCTATTTGCCAAGTAATTAAACACTGAGATGGTCAAAGATACAAGCTTTGAACTTTCAACTTTCCTGCCAAAAAGGAATACGAAATTACTCAGCGGCTTAAATTGTCACACGCAACAGTACATTAATCGTTTATAAAACGCTGGGTTGCATGACAGCATGAGCCCAATGCAAATGCTTTTCACATTAGTGACACGCAACAGTAACCATTATTAGGGGATTAAATTTTTTCCATATTTTATTTCAATTCAAATAAAACCAATAGTTGTAAATAAACTTTTGTCTAACAGTTTAGAGAATAACTAGGTTTAATAAATCTTATTTTATAATTCTAAATTATAATCCTTATTGTAAAATAGCTAGTGTACTTAATTGATAATTAATATTTTTTAAATAAAGATGTTTTATTTTTTTTTATTTTTTTATTTTATATCATTACAGTTTTATATATATTTCACATTAATTTTCTCTTAGATGGTCAATTTATCCTTTTGTTTGGCAGTACCTCTCGTGAAACTACCAGCAATTTCTTTTTGCAAAAATGCGTCAAAATCAAGAAGCCTTTCTGGAGTCTCATTTGGTCTGCAATTTATTGCAGGAAATTGACCCCAATCCTACAAATACAAATACGATATGAGTTGAATGGGCGTATTTTTGACCATCAATCATCTCCAAATCCGAAAAAGGCAAGTTGTTACTTCTCCTTCAATACCTTAAATTCTTACACATTAACTGACCGCGACAGCAATATTTACATGTATGTGTTTTGTCTCATACATACACCATCAGATATACGAAAGGGTGAATTGATACAAATACTATGTGGATTGTCTGCATTTATTAACAAATATTGTCTCATATACAAAACAATAGATGATGAATACACAAAATTTCTTACGACTGTAGATTTAGTCGAAATTTATGCAATTGCTCCTCTCTGACACTCGGGACACATCCACCTGCAACTACAGAGATTTCAGAAACAATCTTAACAGTTTAGTGCGGAAAGAGGGATTTCCCTAGCAATATTCAATGTGCTTACCTATGCGAACCTTCTACCACTGGCTTCGATGTGTTAGTTCTATAAGAGTAAATAACTTCTACGTGAGAAAATGATCGATTATATGATGTATGACATCTGCACCGTCAATATGCATGGCTTCATCTTTGACCTGTAAAATACAGTGTTAGAATTTGCCCCATCAAGATGGAAAATTTAAGTGTTTTTTTTTTTTTTTTTCCACCTATTAAGGTGTTCCATAAAATCAGCACTCCAAACATCAAAAAGAGCAAATTCTACATATTTAACCAGAAATGATAAATCATGAAACCCACAGCATCATAATTTTGCATGCATTGTAATTCTTATACAAGATTGCATGCAACATATATCTGTTGAGCGTCTGAGAGTATATGTGTGCACATATGTCTGCACACATACATGTGTGAGTGAGAAATACCTGTATAACACTATGAGCAGCAAGCCTCTGTCTGCTGCTGTGAAAGCTAACACCTATTTTTTCCCATGAAACACGAGATAGGCCTGTTACCAGTTCCTCTGCACAATATGGTCCAACAAATATCCTTATTACTTGAAAGATCATTAAATTAAAGCATATAACACAATTCACATAACAGACAGTAACATCTCAACATCATCTATGATAGAGCTAGTAAAAGGTTATGAAATTGATAATGGTCAACTAAATGGAACAGAACTGCAATGCCACACGGAATCAAAGATATTACAAGTAAATAAACAAGGCCCTGATCAATGACACCACATTTTTTACACAATTATAACAAACGTTCTGGACCATGGTACCAGTTCAATTTTCACATTTGAGATTACCGCATGCAACATAATGCATCTTGAAAATGTCGAGTATGACATGTAATTTTTATCATTCGGAATAATTTTGTTTAATGATTCACAACTTGTAAAAGACATGCAACCATTGATCCCAGAATGTATGTATATGCTCTTACTCATTAAGCAAGCAGAATATATGCATATGTTTAAAATCATTAAGCAAGCAGATGAACTTCAACTGACAAAGTCAATCGACACAAGCAAACTAAAGTGCTAGTAGTTCAAAAGTTTGTAAGTTACAAACCCTCTAGCTTATCAGAACCAGAATCTTCCATTGAATTAGGTTCTGCATCACATGCCTTGCAATGTTCTTCATGTACAATATGTGGATATTTCTCATGAAGTGAATCTTCCCACTATTCACCAAAATAAGTTTTGCTTGTTATACTCTGACCAAAAGGTTGAGAAATGGAACTAAACTAACAAATTAAAGTAGATAACAATACCTTCGGCAATTCACTATCACGTCTTATTGATGACGTTCTCCAGCCAACAATATCTATATGAAATTTGTAATGGAAAACAAATAGACAAAGTTTAACAGAAAATTGAAGTAAACAACTATAGAGCTGCGCCCCTAAGGCTACGTAAATCATGAAAAAAGGATACGGTCATAGCCCACATTTGAATAAGCCACCCGTCGTTTGAAAGTACGCAGTGCAGACCTGCGTAAAAAAGCGGAGAATTATTCAATAAATGTTGTAAATATAAAAAAAAATATATATGTATATATGCAAAAGTTATAGACATGTATCATACATGAAATAATTTTCACCATGATCTTCTATCATGCATCTCAGCAATGGAGGTTTTCCCTCATCATTATCATTAAGAAAAAGATGCCGACCTGTTCTCCTAAATATCAAATGAATAACAGCATTTGCAAGTTTCTCAAAGGCAGGTACACCAAAGAGAAAAGGTACCTGGAAAAGAATACCAAGTTTTTCAAGTCAACTAACAAGGCAAATTTATTTTACATAGATATACCCAACAAAAAATAACTAATAATTGACATAAAGCAGAATGTGGAATGACAAAGGACGGGGACGGGGAAAGTGCGTATCATTAGGCCAAGAACCTACTACTTGACAATAATTTGCACTTGCATAGCCTGCTCACTATATCAATAGGGGATGGATGTTCATGAAATTCACAACTTTCTAATAAAAAATCTGAAATGAAAAAGTAAATTAACAAAATACCTGCTTATTACCCCTAGAACCAAGATGTGGGGTAGCAACAGTGATGAAGTTCATTGCCTCCAGGTCACCTATTGTACCACATGAATTCTTTTCACACGTCTCAGCTGATGGATTGTCAACATTTTCAACCCTAGGAGGTTTATATAGTCTACCAATTGCATATCTTGCTACTAAACCTCCAACAGAATGACCAACAAAGGAGATTTTACGCAAATTTGGCTTTCTTTGTATTACTTCAAGGACCTATTATCCAAGCATTCCATTAATTACAAAACAGAATATGTAGTTGATGGATCTTCTATGAAATTTAAAACAGATTTGAGAGATTTGAACTCATTGATAGTATCATTATTCTATGCCAATCCACAACTTTAACAAGATACCAACCTCTTGCACCAACCGCTGACCCATTACATCCACACCATCCAGACTCAGTGTAGACATATTTCGTTCACTACCTGCAGAACAGGTCCAAAATATAATTGATGTTCAAATACCCATTTCGCACTAGTTTGCACATACCCACTCCGGCATGAAACAGTATTAGACATTAAGNACTATAGAGCTGCGCCCCTAAGGCTACGTAAATCATGAAAAAAGGATACGGTCATAGCCCACATTTGAATAAGCCACCCGTCGTTTGAAAGTACGCAGTGCAGACCTGCGTAAAAAAGCGGAGAATTATTCAATAAATGTTGTATATATATATATATATATGCAAAAGTTATAGGCATGTATCATACATGAAATAATTTTCACCATGATCTTCTATCATGCATCTCAGCAATGGAGGTTTTCCCTCATCATTATCATTAAGAAAAAGATGCCGACCTGTTCTCCTAAATATCAAATGAATAACAGCATTTGCAAGTTTCTCAAAGGCAGGTACACCAAAGAGAAAAGGTACCTGGAAAAGAATACCAAGTTTTTCAAGTCAACTAACAAGGCAAATTTATTTTACATAGATATACCCAACAAAAAATAACTAATAATTGACATAAAGCAGAATGTGGAATGACAAAGGACGGGGACGGGGAAAGTGCGTATCATTAGGCCAAGAACCTACTACTTGACAATAATTTGCACTTGCATAGCCTGCTCACTATATCAATAGGGGATGGATGTTCATGAAATTCACAACTTTCTAATAAAAAATCTGAAATGAAAAAGTAAATTAACAAAATACCTGCTTATTACCCCTAGAACCAAGATGTGGGGTAGCAACAGTGATGAAGTTCATTGCCTCCAGGTCACCTATTGTACCACATGAATTCTTTTCACACGTCTCAGCTGATGGATTGTCAACATTTTCAACCCTAGGAGGTTTATATAGTCTACCAATTGCATATCTTGCTACTAAACCTCCAACAGAATGACCAACAAAGGAGATTTTACGCAAATTTGGCTTTCTTTGTATTACTTCAAGGACCTATTATCCAAGCATTCCATTAATTACAAAACAGAATATGTAGTTGATGGATCTTCTATGAAATTTAAAACAGATTTGAGAGATTTGAACTCATTGATAGTATCATTATTCTATGCCAATCCACAACTTTAACAAGATACCAACCTCTTGCACCAACCGCTGACCCATTACATCCACACCATCCAGACTCAGTGTAGACATATTTCGTTCACTACCTGCAGAACAGGTCCAAAATATAATTGATGTTCAAATACCCATTTCGCACTAGTTTGCACATACCCACTCCGGCATGAAACAGTATTAGACATTAAGCTGACAAAGGGCACAAAAATTGAAACATTTGGTAGTTGACAATCCACTTATTGAATTAAGCCACTGATTTTACACCCATTTCGCAAGAATGATGGATAAGTGAAAAAAAAAAAAAAAAAAAAAAAAAAAAACCAGAATTTCAAGGAAATGATGTTAATCATATTTATGAGCAAATCATGCCAATCTCAGTCAAACCAAAAGCCTTTCTTTGAAACTGGTTACGAGAATGGTAATTAAAAGCAGCAATAATACCTGCAAATGTGTTACATAAGAAAAAATGTGAAAGAATTTTATAAAGCATAATACAAGGTTAAAACCTCCTTACAATGAACAAACACTTTATCAGGCAGCCTTTTAACAAACTGCTCTGCTCCAAATTTCCAATCAGTAGCACTGCACAATTAACACAAATTCAACATTCAATTAAGGAAATATTAGCATTTAATTGAATCCTACAATTCTATATATAAGAAAAATTGAATAAACTAATCAAATTAAAGATTTTATCATAATCAACTAAAAGAGATGGAGAATTGAAAAAAAAAAAAAAAATCAGACCTTCCGAGAATACCATGGACCATAACAACGAGATGATCAGCAGAAGAAGAATCGGAATTCTTACAACTCCACACATCGTGGCTTCCATTCACGGATTCTTTGGAACAAACTCCGTCCTCAACTGTTCCGTTTTCCATAGTTATGTCAGTTCTATCTTTAACTAATTACGCATTTGATTATAAATAGCCGACAATTGAAGATCGAATTAAAGGTGTTTGGGGTTATAAAAGATTCTCGGGAAAATTGGGAAAGAGGGGGCAAGAAAGTGAAGGAAAATGGGAAGATAGTGGGAGAGTTGGTTAAGAGTCTTAAGACAATAAGAAAGAGAAACCTTAGCCAGGGGTATACGATTATAAAAAAAAAATTAGCTGGAGTGCAGTGGTCATTCTGGTGGTTTCGTGCAGTGACCGCCGACATGTCGCCACGTAAGCAGAAACCGTGATCTGAAATCGTAGTTAAAAGCTTATTTACCATTTTTAAAACTTACCGGTCACTAGTGATAGTGACTAGTAACTGTTAGTTTTGTTTTCAGGAAGTATCTTGATTATAAAAGATTGATTTAAATTTTATATTAATTAATAATTACTAATGTAATATTATGAAAACGATATTATTTGAAATAATTTTATATATTTTTATAATAATTATGATTTCATAATTACATAAAATTATATCGTACATGCTTGATTTTGATACCAATAATTTTGTATATATAAAATATTAAGAAGTCACGCCTGGGTTGATTATAGCAAGTGAATGAGGAGCTATAAGCATATTAACATGCAAAGATATAAATATAACGCTGACAAGTGAATTTTTATAGTGATTTAGATGTTTAAAGTGAATCTTATATCTATTGTGTTTATTTATATAAATATGTTCTTGGTTATTAAACAAGTTTACAAAAGGTCGTGAACTGCGATATGGTATTACGAAGTGCTTAGTGTTTTAAGTGTTCTTAGAGAATGTAGGAGGGAGCTGGTTATTTATATATATTTTGCTTCAAGATAATGATTACACTTTTACTATTAGTTGAAAACTTAAAAAATATTCTTAAATTAAATGAGGCACAAGCAGTTGTGTAAACCAAATTCATATCGGGACAAATTCTTGAATTGGTTGAATTGTTTATAATTATATTCTTTTTGTCTTTAGAGATGTAGCATGTTCTGAAATTTTTTTTGAATTTTGATCGGTGATCAGCCCTTGTTTCAGGCATAACAGTAATTTTAAAAATCTTTCAATTATAGATAATGGTTTTAGTTAAAAGTTTTAGTGTTTTTCAACTATCATTTAAAATTAAAATTATATAATATAAATTATTTGGAAGATAGATTTCGCAATTGGAGGCAGACCGTAGAGAAGTTCACACTTCGCATAAGGGAAGGGAGACACCAATAAAGAGGCGTAGTCGCGTAGACATTAAATAGGCGCGTTAACGGTTAATAACGGCAGTTAGGTGTTTTCCTTTCTGAAAGGGAAAGCAAAAAGGGTGAGTTATACTGCACTACTGCTGTTGTATAAAATGTGAATGATCGCTTTATTTGACCGACTCCTGTCCTGTCAGAAAAAGTAATTTTGTTGCACTAATTCCAAATTACGGTATTTACAACTTTTATTTTAATTTTTAAACGCGTAGAAGAAAGATAAGAAATTTCTTGTAATCATGTGTATATTAATAAATAGACACTTATTATTTAAATATACATTTTTTTATTTACAAAAGGATATTTTTTTCAACATTTTTTTTTATCAATAAATGAATTTTTTATTTCGAGATTTTCTTTTAAATGCATTTGTTGAGTTATTTCTAGGTATGACAATGTTTCTCCGGATTTTGAGGACCTATCTTGCCTTGCCCCATATACGGTGGGAAAACCCCAGTTTTTTGGGGGATAGGGGCAAGGGTGGCGGGTGTTTTAATCCCGATCATCGGGGATGGGGCAGGGGGTGGATGATGTCTTTCTCCACTCTGTCTCGTATATAATATATAAAATTAATATATATATAATTATCCTACCTATATAAACCTATATTTTTTCAATTTCCCTCACCCTAAATAATTGAACAAGAACAAACCCTAAACCATATTTATGTATAATTAATTATGTTTAAATGATTAATTTAGGTGTTTATCATGTGGACGAGAATTAACTATTGTGTTTGGTAATGCTCAAATTAATTTATGTTTGTATAAAATTAATAGGGCGAGAATGGGCCACCAACATCCCCCTTTGGGGCAGGGAATGAGAATTATTGTCATCCCCATAACAGGGATGGAGCGAGGGTGGGGAGTGATTTTAACGGCGAAAATAGGTACGGTGAATGAGATCCCTGCCCCCTCGCTCCATTGCCATGCCTAGTTATTTCTACTTACTCACAAGTTATATTCCTAATTAAAAAAAATGTGTCTATTTAATTAAAAGAAACTCCTTTCGTAAACATTGATGTGTAGAGAGAAGGGGTGTTTGAAGAGATAAACAATAAGTAGAACAAAATTGGGTTTTATAAGTAAGGTTAAATTTGTCCATAAAACAATGAATTCAACTAATTTATAAAAAATAGATATAAAATATGATTTCCCTTGTATAATTAATTAAGCCTCCAAAGAAAAAGGACCGACAATAATTTAATAAGATAAAGTTTTCATGCTTCCATGATCCACATTCCACGTGGATATGGAGATTACTTATAGCTTTTTTTTTTATCATTTTTATTTGTCCTATTTTAAACATCTTTTGCCGGTGCAAAGATGCAGATGGGAGCGCTGTTTTGTTTTTTGAAATTGTGAAATTACGTTAGATTATTCTAGAACCAGCGTTGACTTTACATTATTACAAAGTCACAGTAAATTTTAATTTCATAACATCTCGATTAACATTAATAAAAAAATCTATTGTTTAAAGTTTATTCTAATAAATTTAAAAAAAAAAATCTCTTGATTCATTAATATTTAATGTTTTCATATAAAAATTAGTTAATTATAAAAAAGTAATTCATTAATTTTTTGTTAAGGGCAATGTGGTAATTTCAACAGGGGTGGGAACATGTAGTTTACTCTAAAAAATTATTCTTCCCCCAACAAGAGGGTATTTAACATCTTCTGGAAACATTAGACACAGTTAAAAACTTAAAATTAGATATCTTTACGCTTATAATTTAATTAATATTAAGATTGAATTATTAATTGATTTAATGAAAACCATTTTATAAAAAAACTTGTAATAAATTACTTGTTTGAGTCTTGTAAGATATGTTTTAGCATTACCCGAAAATCTCACATAATTTTATACACTTTTACATTAAAGTATATTAACAATTATTGTTAGGTATAATATAAAAACTCAAACATACTCAATTCTAAAGTATAGACGCTTTCTTGCCTTCAAAAAATAAACCAGGCACCTAAAATTAATTAAATATATTGTACAATTACCAAACAAATCAGTATCACCTTCATCATTTTAATTGCATAATAAATTATTATATCTATTGAGTTGTTTACAAACAAATTGGAAATGCCAATAATAATGTTAATGCTACACAATCCAAGCAACAATTATTGCGAATTCAAAGCCAAGCATTAATAATTTGCCTTCATATATATAATTACAAAAGAATAAAACAAACAAACAAATGCAAATGGCTTATGATAACTTACTTTTCAATTATTAAACCAATCCGATCTCATCTATATATATATATATATATATTGATTGGAAGTATTTGGGTCAGTTTGTGCATATCTCAACTAATCCCTGGGGATCCTAAAGGTAATGACTGAGTAAGCTTCCAGTGGCCACCCTTGTTTTGTTGTTGATCGGAGGTGTCCGATCCAGTTTGCACACACCTAAACTAATCCTCCGAGGGCTTGAAATTAACAACCGGATAAGTCTTCAGTGGTTACTTCTTTTAGTAGCTGAGGTGAATCGAACTCAGTTTTATTTGTTGGCTATTTATTCTGATGATTCTATTTGAAACTTGCCAGTTATAATTCTTGGAAAAGGACAGGAAGATGAAGAGAGCCAAATAAGTTAGGCTATAAATAGGTCGAGTTCTGAATTATTTATACCAAATTTTATTGTCATTAGCGCTTAGCGTTATCTACAGAGGTCAATTATTTGAGGTCCTACAATTAAAGATAGAAGCAAGGATTCATGTGGTAGGCTTAGGGTTTAGCCCGTAACTCACATTCTCACAAGAAGTTGAAAGAGTGAGTCCAACTTCAGGCAACCTCCAACCCAGGAGTTGTCTCTTAATTAACCACTATAATAAATTATTTTACCAAAAATAAACTAGTATTTTTACATAAATAAGGATGGAAAACATCCAAAAACGAACCCCAAGGGTTTGACTTGGCGATCAAGGGGGTTTATTCTATTTCTTGAGTTCTTAAATTCAAATCTTAGGAATATCTATCACAATAATATTGTCTTTTGAGATTGTAGGGTGTTCACTAGACTCCAATGATTAATTGAGGTGCATGTAAACTGGTCCAAACACCCCAATTATCAAAAAAAAAAAAAAAAAAAAAATCCATTGCTTTAGATATCCTTAGAGAACTGTCTCTATTGGATCAAAGACGGCAGGTTAATTTGAAGAATTGATGGATCCCCGTATACAAAATATATAATTATATGTAAAAATATAATACAAATTAGGTGTAAATGAAATATTTATAAATAATACTAATATCTATTGTCTAAAAATAGAACTATAAATTATACATCATTCTGTTGAAAGAAATAACCCCAAACTTAATTAAAAAAAATTAAAACAATTGCATGATATATATTTTACCTTATATTTGCTACAATTTGTTACTATTGTTTTTATTAGAAAATTTATACTATGTTACTTATTTTTATTGTAATTATTTATATTAGTAATTCTTTAGTAAGGACATTCCTATATTAACTTTGGGAAGACTATGCTTCAATAGCATTGGATTTATTCTTAAAATATCATTTTAGTCAAACACGATGAATCCCATAATATTTAAACATGATTCTCACAAAATTGATTATTATTATATATAATTTATATTAGTTTTATAATACGCCCATCTTCTAATAAGTTAGTAACTAGGGTATTAGTTGTAAAAAACACTCCTTATAACCTCATCTTGATCTTATATAATTCAGGGAATGAGAGGGGTAATCGAAAAGTCTAACGTGTAAGTCCCCACAACTATTAATAGAGGTGACCATTAAAACTCTTATTCAGCTAGTAGTTTTAGGGTCTTGAAAAACTATTTGAAGTACGTGCAAACTAGCGCAGACACCACGTCAAAAAAAAAAAAAAAAAAAAAAAAAAAAAAAAAAAAAAAAAAAAAAG